TTCACTGTTACTTTTCCTTCTCCTCTTGTTTTTCTAGCTTCACATCCTCCTTCTATTGTTGGAACTGTCTTTTTCCTCTCATCACATTTCCTGTTGCCTTTCCCATTCGATGGGGCCCTATCCAACTCACTCACTGTCTGGCTCCAGAGTCATTTTGACCTCAGGGGAGAACAGTCATATGCCAAATAGTCCCAAACCAAGGGGCATCAGAAGAAAGAGCTCAGAAACTAAGGGTTCTGAAGTTTTCTTTTTCTGACTTTATACTAGAATGAAATCCAAGGATGCCTAATTAGGGGAGGAAAAATCATCCTCTTGGGCTTCTAGGTCCAGACAGTTCTGAACTCTGACAGCACTAACATCCATGAAATCAAACAATGAAATCAACTTTGGTTACTTAGCATAATAGAAATAAACTTGTAATATTCTATTAGTGAAGGATCAATGTCTCCTGTCTTGAAAATAAACATCAGAGCTCAGCCCAACATTTATGAAGCAGCAGGAGGCCATTATTTTGTGGCAACATTCGATTACATTGACATCAAGACAGATTTATTAAATTAATAAATAGTACATGATTTTCAGCCTTTCATTTCCAACCTCACTACCACCACCCTCCCTAAGGTGATCCTCTGAAAACTTTCATCTATACTTTTTATTATTCCCTTACTCCTTCTTTTGCTATTTTTCAGAAATTAATTAATTTTTCAAGTGTCCGTTTCTTTTTCAGGTAGAAAATCTAAAGAGGTTCTTAAGAACAAAATAAGGAGAATCATTGACTGGTTAATTGTTAAAATAGCTCACTGGCATGGTATTTGAAAAGGAATGATTGCAGATGAGTTTTTCAAAGTTCTGAAGGTGGCTAATAGCAAAAGCCCACAGTTCCCACTGCCCCTGTTTCTAACTTCCCGCTTCAGAGTCTTTGCTCTGGCTGTTCCATCTACCTGGAGTGTTCTTCCCTCTGCTCTGCATGGCTGCCCTCCTCCCATTTTACAAGTCTGCCGGAATGTGAGTGCCACCGAGACATTTTCTCTGAGAGTCCTCTCTAAAGTGCTTGCTTCCACATCCAGTCACTCCTCATGCTGTTATTTTTTAAAATTTTCTTTATAGTCACAAATCACCACCTGGACGTTGATGGTCTGAATTACCCAGTACCTTGCATACTTCGTGGAGGCAGCCGTCTCACCGTCCTAGTTCTGAGACTTAGAACATTGAGTAAACAAATACTCAGTGGCTGGCAATGAAGGAGAAGACATCACACATGAAAGACCTTCGACCTCAGTTCTCTGAGGTATTTCCAACATAGAATCTTTCCAGCCTACTACCCTACTCTAGCCTTGGGGCAACGTAAATGGTTAAAAACAGCAGCAATTGGACAGAAGTGTCAGTATACATTTAGATTTTACGTTTCTGCTCTTACTCCAATTTATTTTTCTAGCATCTAAGCCAATTTAACAGAATTTTGGTGAGTGGGGTATGAGAGAGTGAAATATTTCCTCCTCTTTTCTATCACCACAGATCTTACTTGCTTGGAGTTCCAAGTGGTTTAATGTTGCTGACAATAAGGAACCGAGTAGCACACAGTCAGCAGATTAAGTTCTCAGTAATAAGCTTTCATCATGTCACTCTCTCAATGCCTCAAAAACTCAATGCCTCCTCACTGCTTAGAGAATAACTTCCTCCCCGCTCAGATTTTTATCCAGTCTGAGTTATCAGAACCTAAAGTATTCAGTAGATTATACTTACTTCCTTATATATATATCTTTCTTCCTTAATGGAGTAAATGAGGGGGAACCAGCAGTTGACATCATGGCTATGTCGCTGGACTCCCATGTAGTTGACTGCAATTCGAGTCCCGGACCCGGTGGCTTAAACTCACCCTGGGCGCATGTGTGTGCGTGCCCAAGATCACAAGAGGAGAATGGAGGAGAAGGGATTGCGGCATGATCATCCCTCTAGCGGCTGATTTCTCTCTTTCTGTCTCTCCCTGTCTTTCTGGAGAGCACATGTGCCCTATAGCAAAAACTTCTTAAAAAAAAAAAAAGAGAGTAAATAAGGGAGCTTCAAAAATTTCATGGAAATGAAAATATGAGTCCATTTTGGTGCCAAAAACGGAAATCTATGCAGTTTTTTCATAATATGCATTTTCCATAAACTTTTTTAAAAAGTTTTTGCTATAAGGTGCATGCACTTGCTGGAGAGAGAGAGACAGAGAGAGATAGAAAGGGAAAGTGAGAAATCACCCTCCGGGGGGGTGGCCACACAACAATCCCTTCTTCTCCATTGTCCTTTCAGGATTTTGGACATGCATGCACACAGGCCCAATGTGTTTCTCAAGCTGACAGATCTGGGACTCACACCACTCAATTGGCCATCAGGGATCGTTCATTTTAATCACCATGCCACCTACTGGCTCTCCATGAATTTTTTGAAGATCCCTCATAAACTCCTTGAAGATAGCTTATCATTCACTGAAATTTACCATCTGGTTACACACTAGGCTGGATATGGGAGAATACATTCTTGAGGAAGACATTTCCCTGCTTTCTAGCCCTACAATTCCTACTTCTGTTTATGCCTTGTTTTTGGAAGATATTCACTAATGCTTTTGGAATTAAATTTTAGTCCTATTTACTAAGTCTGACAATCGGATTTCAACTCCCTGCTCCATATGTTAACAGCTATATAACCTTAGGCAAGTCACTTAACCTCTCTGTGCCTCAGTGTTATCAACTGCAAAATGAGATGAGGTTTCTAACTCTGAGGGACTTCAAAACATTTGCATTAAAAAACATAATTACAACACAAGTCTATTTTCATGCAAAAAAAAAATAACCTAGAAATCCATGTACAGTTTTTTTTTTTTTAAATAAGTAGTTTCTACAAACATTTTGAAGACCTCATATATTTTAGGGTTGTTTTAAAGATTAAATAAGAAAAAACATGTACAAGATTTAGCACAGAGCTTAGCACATTATAAGTGCTTAGTAAGTGTACATGAATATGACTTATAATCTATAGGGTCTGTAACCACACACAAACATATCTAGTCCATCTGTCCACACTGCGTCACCTTGTCCGTGCAATTCCTCCTTGCCTTGAATAACCTTCCTTACTTCCTTCAACTCTAGCTCCTTGAGAAAGCATTCTCTACTCTTACAATCTATATGGCACATGTAAGCTGTCTTCCTCTAGAACTTAACTTTTTCCTGTGTCTTCTCGCTCCAGTGAGATATCAGAGCAGGGATAATCCTGTGATTCTCCAGCAGTGCCTAAGATGATACTATACTCGTAGTATTAGGTAACTAACTGACTGTACTGTTAGTGGTAGTTAATACTTGCTAACTCCTTTCTGATTGTAGTGAATGGTAAATGCAATGACAAATTCAACAGCCTTTTCATTGGTAGCACTTGGTCACTGTAATAAGATCACTCCCAATTTTACAGACTCAAGGATAAAAATGGGAATTTTCATGTCATCTTGTCATTTCTGCAAAGATGCTGTTTCCACGATGTCCTTGGATTCCAGTGAAGAAATTCTTTATTTTTAAGATAATTTCTTTCATTCTTTATTTTTAACTTGCCACAGGGTGTGTGTACTCACCAGAGACAGAGAAAGAGTAAGAACCCCAAATGGGGTTCCATATCCTTTTTCCTCCATTTCTCCATGCTATAAGGATTTTGCACATACGTTCATATATTTTTCAAGTTGCTGGGTCTGGAACTCAAACCATGCAGTTGACCATGTGGGCTCCAACTTTAGCTGCTAGGCCACATGGCTGGCCCAAATTCTTTATCTTTAACTAGTGAGATAACTTGAGTAGTTTTCCTCATTAAATCAGCTCTCACAACAGGAAAATTTACTCCTCCTCCTCATCATAAGGAGCCTACATATACTTCAAGACAGTCATCAAGTAATTCTCTTCTCCCAAATGAACAATCAAAATATTTATTTGCATAGCTAATATCACAAATGGTCTAGGCAAACAGACAAAGGCACTCTCTTGTGAATACTATTAGTTTGTAGTTCACAGTTTAGGTGACTGCTCTGGAGTGAAATAAACACATCCTCAGAGACTTCTACTGGTCAATCAACTCTTCAAATGTTTTTCTACCCTCCTCCTGGTAATTGGAATCTTTTAAGCATTTACTGGTGACAGGGTGGAAATACAAAGCAGTACAGCTGAACACTCAGCAAACATTCACTGAGCACCCACAGCATGCGGTACTGGGCAGTACAGTGTTCTGGTAAGCAGCGGAGAGGAGAAAATCTGTTAAAAAACCATAACCCCATAAAGACTTTCCTGAGTACCTGCAGTGAGCTAGGCAGTGTGCTAAGTGCTAGGCTGTACATCAGATGTCTGTCTTAGAGGAGCACACAGACTAGGGGAACTATAAGTCTACCATGCTCAGTATAGGTTTATCAGTACCAGGAAAGATGTTCGTAGACATGGTTGCTCTGGGGCTTGGAGGAATACCTCCACCTAGAACTTGCTTGATGCTTAAGTGAAACCATGAAGGAAGAATATGGTTTACTTTAAAAAATAAGAAGAATGATAAAAGTAGGGAAGGGCATTTTAACAAAAGGAGCAACAGGTACAAAGGCTAAAGGGGAAGGGAGACCATACACATTCCAGAAGCTCCAGGAAATTTGCCTGAAGTGGGGTGACTGGAAGACAGTTGCAGAGATCAAACTGGAGAGTAAGAAAAGGATGATTCATGAAGACTTTTGTTTTTGTTTTTTGTTTTTGTTTTTGTTTTGTTTTAATGAGTCCCACGACTTTGGGTCTGAAATCTTAGAATAGCCTTGGGGAGCCACTGGAGGGTTTTAAGCAGAGGAATGACCTGATCAGGCTTGTAATTTAGAACAGTCGCTCTGACAGCTGTGTGGGGGAGTGACAGAGGGAGGCAGGAAGAGAGCAGAGGGGATATCATAAGGTTCCAAGCAAGAACTGATGAAGGTATGACATAAGCTAGGTGTCATAAAGAATAGAAAAGAGTGAATTGTGTGCCATCTGGACATGGAGGAAAGTGAAAAGGTAGGAAGACTACATGCCCATTTCAAAAGACTAGGTAAGGATGATCTATTTGAACAACATCTTGCAAGATTTGTATAAATTAAAACCCATAGATTTTATGGAAAGTAACTGTAGACTGTAGATGCCAGAGACAGTGCGGGAGCAGGGTGGGAAATAGTAGAGGGTGAGAAGGAGGGAATCAAAGGGGGAAAAAGAAGAAGTAAACTACGTAAGAAACAAGAAATGGAAAGTTATTTGTTGAAGATAGCATGTATGGTGATATCTTTGATTGATCCAAAGTACATTGTACTCTGAATGGGAAAACTCACTTTGCATGCTGCAATGATATACAGTGAATGAATGTAAAATAAATAAATCAAAAACTAAAAAAATACTCATAGATTTTACATAGGCAAAACGAGTTTACTTTTCACATTGCACATTTATGTTCTTTAATTGTAAATTATATCATGCATATTTTGCAGACTACAACTTTTCAGTAACACGGGAAGTCAATTAAGAAATCAATATTTTACACTCTTCAGGTTTCTATGAATTAAGGAACTTTCTACAGTTCTTCCCTAAAACAATAAATGACAACAAAAACAAACAAACAATTAAAACATCAACCAAACAAAAGAAAAACATCATTTTAAGAAAATATGGACAGATGGAAAGACTCAAGATAAGGAACATTTCAAAACTTAAGTCATTCAGACCTTCCTGGAAAAGCCTCCAGAGCCTATGCTACGTGCCTGCTGTCTCGGGGTAGTTTCTCTGAAAAGCAGACCTGAGATGAGTCTGGTGTGTAGTATGTTTATTAAGAACCAGTTCTGTGAAGGGAAAGCAAAGGAACTGGAACTGAACAAAGAAGTCAACGTCAGTGCAGGCCTGGCTAAGCCTCAGCCAACCTGGTGGAGATCCTTGGAGCAAATATTGTCCATCAGAGTGTCCCAAGTCCAGCCAAAAGCACCTGGTTTCTATACTCCAGTTTCTCTTACCTTGCCCCAAGAAGGGAGTGGTCTCTGGAGCAGTGGTTCTTAGCAGCCTAGGCAGATTCTGAAAATGCTGATGAATAATGATGCTGAAGATGCTACCACAGTGAGGTGGCATGCTATTAGTGAAAGGAGATCTCGGTGTCTCTCACACCTGCACACCCCTTTTGGATGGAACACAAAGATAGAACCAGGCCATATTCCTGGCCTTGGGAGAACTATATCTAGATCATTCCAACCAGATGGCTGTATCTCCTATACTTAGAAATACTATTTCAGAATTATAGAAACATGAAAATCATGTTGAGAAAAGAATTCAAAATTGAGTTTAAAATCATTTATTAATAATGAAGTACTTATGGGAATTAAAAGAAGAAAAGCAGAAAAAAACTATATTGATATGAAGATATTGTTCTGTTACCTTTCTAAACATGGAGGAAATTACAGATCAATAAAACATACAAAATAATCACAAAGGCCCACAGAACTAAAAGGAACATTAGAAAGTGATGCAGAGCACCCTCGAACTATAGGAGAAAACTGGTTTCCTTCCTCCATCATGTCAGTTATAGTCTCACTTGAGGGACCTTTAACCAAGATATTTAACTTCTCTTTGCCTGAGCCACTAATAATTGACCAGTACACTATCATATAGAAATTATGACACCATGTATAGGATTGAAGGGAAGATCATTAAAAAAACAAAACAAAACAAACATTAGAATGATGAAAGAATGGTTCATTACAGTTTAGAATATCAGTCTCAGGGCCAGGAGGAGGTGAGGGTGGTTAAAGTGTTATACTATCACATGGCTGAGTATGGTTCAAGTCCCAGACCTGATGGCTTGCTTTCTCACTTTCTCTCTCTCTCTCTCTCTCTCTCTCTCTCTCTCTCTCGTGAGCTCACCTGCCCTATAGAAAAAATTTTAAAATAACAATAATAATAAGTACAACTAAGTAAATAATTATTTAAAAAAAAAAAAGAATATCAAGTCATTCAACAGCATGCCAGAGCTAGGAAGAAAATAGTGAAGAGTATTTTTTTTAACAGTTACTTCATTTATTTTATGAACTCATACACATTTACTTGTCTTCTGGTTTGTTGAAGCAGTAAGTCAGACATTTGCCGCAATAGTGTCTGTCAAAATGGCTGTCCATGAACCTCTGGCACCACATTCCTCTGGAGGGCACTCCCAGGGCAGGCAACTAATTTGCCATTTTCAGCGACTTTATAACATTTCAGGGAGACCAGGTTAACCTGCTTTCTCTTATGCTTATTCTTCCTGGGAGTGGTACAGACTTCTTTTCTCAGCACCACCACGAAGTCTCAACATGAGATGAAGCGTGGACTCCTTTGGGATGTTGTAGTCAGGCAAAGTACGCCCAACTTCCAACTGCTTGCCAGTAAAAATCAGTCTTTGCTGATCAGGAGGACTTCTTTCCTTACCCTGGATTGTGGCCTTTATATTTCCTATTGCATCTAATGGTTCAACTTCGAGGATGATGGTCTTCCCGGCAAGGATTTTTACAAAAATGGGCATCTTTGTGGTGGTCCCACCACAGATGGTGTATAGGAAAGGACAATGAAGATTTTTAATGGTGATTCCTGTAACTTAGTACTATGTACTAAATTCATGAATGCCTCATCCCTCAGAATTATTCTGTAGATTAAAACTCATTGATCTAGATTCCATAAATTTATGATGTTGCAGTAATACAGCTATAGCATGTCATTCTGTTTGAAAAAACATTTTACAATGATTTTCCCCTTGAAAATTATAGTCTTAAGAAGAAAAGGCCTACTAATCTTCTCTAAGTGTGTCTTCAAATTCTGGGTCCAGTAATTATTTCCATAATGTCAATGGAACCATGATCCATTACCAGGAGTCAATAATGAATTTTTTTTTTCAATTGATTGGCCTATTCTTGACAAAGTTTATTTTTTTATAATATGCAAATAATTTGGAATAATAAAATAGTGTTTATTTTAACAGATTTATTTTTCACTAATTTGGATGGGGTTTTCTGTTCCTCTTTTATAGCAGCGAATTTACTATAGTTCTCACTGTAAATCCTGTTCCCAGCCCAATGAATGGGATCTGCTTGCTTACATGCCATGTGTACCAGAGAGCTGCCGTCCTTCCAGGCCTAGGGAAATACAGCTAGTGCAATAATATAGATGGGAGAAGAAAGTGAAGGAAGAGGGAGAAGAAAACTCAAAAATGAGTAAATGATAATATCCAAACTGAATAAAAGCCCACATGTGCTCCCTAAAATATCTCAAGGGTAACCATGCCAGGCCTGTCTCCCACATACTTTAGTCTTTATTGATTGTAAGCTGTATTGCTCACCTATGAAAAATAATGTACTTAAACTTACTGTCTTGGGACTAGCAGATGGCGTAATAATTATGTCACTGGACATGGCCAACTGCAATTCAAGGAGCAGATTCTGTGGCTTGAAACCCATGCCAGGCGTGTGTGTGTGTGTGTGTGTGTGTGTGTGTGTGATTTTTTGCTTTCTGTCTCTCTATTTGGCAAGTATACATGTACTATAGCAAAAATCTCTCTTAAAAAAACTACGGTCTTAATATCCTTTTTTAAAAAATAATTATTTTATGTAACTTTATTTATTTATTTTAATTTGACCAGAGAGGGACTGAGAGAGAGAGAAAGGGAAAAGGAGAAAGCGAGCTGCCAGGTCTGGGGCTTGAACCACTGTCAACCATATGAGAGTTCAGTGCCCTGTACCACTATACCACCTGCCAGCCCCCTTAATAACCTTTTTAAATTCTAACAAATTAAGTTAAATGTTTTGATTTTCAGGGTGTATGTGTTTAACAGTTACATAATTGCCTGTAATTTGTCTTGTTTTTTTAACTGTAAAAATAACCTGGTCTTAAGCACTGTTTCCATCACAATTATAACAAGAAGGCCACTGGGGTCCCTTCCCCTCCCTCGTGCCAAGTGCTGCTAACTCCAAGCACTAGAAGGCTGAACCTTCAACATTGTTGTCTCCCAAAGCTAGGAATCTCCCCTGCCATCTTTGCCAGAAACTGGGTTTCTATGAGGCACCTACTTCCTTTCATTGTTTCCTTCCAAAACAACTTCTATAAGCAAGGTGGATTGTGTACCCTTGCTGTAAAACAAGCTGGAAAAATACATTTGGGACTTATGGAAAGAATCTTCAAAGAGTTCATTAAAATAGTGTATGTTATTAAAAAAAAAATCTAGGGCCAAGTTTATGCCTAGTGATTAAGAGAGCAAGATTCCACATGCTAAAAAAGCAAGCGGGATTCATGTGCATGGATGCCCCAGAATCCTGACAGGATCGAGAAATGGAGGAGAAAGGATTGTGGTATGACTACTGGAGCATACTTTCTCCTTCTCTCTCTTTCTGTTTCCCTGTCTCTGTCTGGCCAGAACATGGGACCTCTGGCAATCAGAAAGAAAGAAAGAAAAAGGGAGAGAAAGGAAGGAAGGGAGGGAGGGAGGGAAAAAGGAAGAAAGAAAAACTATAAACATATGCATGGATTTCATTTTTTTTTTGCACCAAAATAAACTCATACTTTAATTCTACTGTTCTATAAACTTTAGAGAGGCAGGACTTGTACAGTGGGGAATTCCTCAAACACAGAAAAGGTGTTCAAAAGGGTGTCAAGGGACCACAAAAACCTAGGCATATGTCTGTCAGAGTGAAATGCAACCAAACACAGAACTCCATCAAGTTACTGGTAGTGGGTGTACAATTTCCCAATCATGGAACTGGAGGGACATAATGGTATTCCAGGAGAACTTGAGAGGGCTCGTGTGAGCATTGCTGACATCTTAGCTTGTGCTCTGGTCTGTTCCAGATGGAAGGACATCCCTGCTCAGGCCTCTAGCTGGGCCCTGCTCCAAGAACTGACCCTTAACCAGGGGCAGGCTGCCAGAGCAGCAGGGAAGGACGACTTACCTGCACGGGCACCCTCGCACTCCATAAGGATTTTGGAAATTTAATTGACACAGTAGGGAAAAAAGAGGTTTTCAAGCCTTGTTACTATGCATATGCTAATTATTAGGTAAAGGGGAACATTATAATTGAGTTATGAAACAGCTAAATAAAAATAAAATACCTGACAGAAAGCTTCTTTACATGACATTTTTACACAAGAATAAACAATGTGTTCTTTGTAGAGCTTAGGAAAAAAACAGAGTTCTTATTATTCCGTAAACTACAGGCTCTTGTTGTAACTAGACTAGTGCTTGTATTTGTTGACATCTTGATTTATAAAAACCTGAACAAGTTCAGTTTCAAAAATTCTTTTTCTTCAAGCAACGCCTCAAAAGGGGGCAAAAGATTGATGTCCCCGTCTAAAAATGGCATATGCAAAAGCTTTAGAATTCTCTTTGTTCAACTCAGGTCAGATTTCATGAAAAGCAATTGAAATTCCTCTTGTTCCCCATTCTTGATACATGTGTGGAGGTTTGTGTACTTAATGAGCACCATGAAGCTTCCTTCACTGAATTTTATGTCTGAAAAATGAAATGACCTGTTTCCCTCAACTCTTCCCCATCTTGTGTCAGTAATGGAGGTCTTCTCCTATATCACAGCAAAGAATGTGTGCTAATTAAGTGACTGCTGGAAAATTCAATCTAATGACCAGAATTGGTGGCATGTGCTAACAGTCGAAGCTGAACCTAAAGCAGGGGAAGAAAGGTTACTAGGTTCTCTATTTTCTTAACACTGAATCATTGTGGTAGGTAAAGTTGTATTCATGAAATGGCAAGCAAGTGGTTCACCATGTATTCAGATGAACGCATTTGTTTGAAATCCACTCTGAGAGCCTTTGTGTACGAAGAAAGATAACAAATGAAGGTTATGATGTGAATTAAAAATTTGGTAAGTATCCAAGTATAAGCCATGTTGATTCATAAAATGTAATTCTCTTTACATCAACTTTAAAAAGTAAAAAAGGGTTGACTTTGCAGCTGAGTAGTTAAGGGAACTGGGTCCCACATAGCCAACTGTGTTTCGAATTCTGGCACTGGCAGCTTGCAAAACACACCAGGTATGTTGGCACATGACCCAAATCCTGACAGACCAGAGAAATGGAGGAGAGAGGACTTAGCATGACCATGCCCCATTTGGGGGTACTTTCTCCCTCCTTCTATTTCTGTCTTAGTCTCTGTCTCTTTCTGGTCAGTGCTTGCATTCTCTGGTAATTAGAGGAAAAAAAGGTAAAAATTTAAAAAAATTTAAAAAGGAATACCCAAAGTATAGGTTCTGGTAAGGAAAATGCTGGTTTAAGGAAAATGTCTCTAAATTAGACACTTATCTAGAGAAAATTCTCTTCTCCAAGTAGCCTCTAAACCTAAATGCATATGACAAATTAAATTTTTTTTTTTTTTTTTTTTTTTTTTTTTTTAAAGGACACTCACCCTTTTTTTTTTTTTGCTGTAAGGCACATGCACTCACCAGAGAAAGACACACAGAGAAAGAAGGAAAGTGAGAAACCACCTCCCCAGGTGATGGCCACACTACAATCCTTTCTCCTCCAGGTTCCTCTTGGGACTTTGGGCACATGTGCACAGCATGATTTTCAAGCATCTGGGTCCAGAACTCTAAACATGGAGATACCCGTGTAGGATCCAGCTGCCTTAACCTCCATGCCACCTACTGGCCCACTAGTGTCTCCCTCTTCTAAATCAGGCCCTGAACCA